CGATACTTTACTGCATGCAAATGTGTGTGTGACTGATTGCAAGCATATGCAACTCTCAAACCAAGCTATCTGATTGTGAGTGTGAGAATCGCTTGCATCCAATCAGTCACCATCTAGCTACTTTAATATCTGTCAGTCGAATCAAGTGCGAGTCATCCTGCTGATGCTGTAACTTCCCCGCCCCCCCTTTTTTTTTTTTACTGTACGCTCTTCAACTTTTAAGCTTGAACAGAAAATAATGTAATAATAAAAGAAAAAACACTGTCGAGATAATAATCACTGAACACCAAAATTCCCCAACATGTAAATGCTATCTTACACATAATCTGGAATGAGTAATACGTGCTATTAATTTAAATTAAATTAATCAATGACAGTGCTTGTTAGGGAGGAGAGAGAGGGGAGTGAAGATTGAGGAGGAGGGGAGTTTGAATGAGTGAGAAAAGATTGAGGGAGAAAAGAAATGCATTCACACCTATAATCTAATTATACAACAACATTAATCCCATTAGGGCTGGAACTGATTGCCAGGGTCCGGACCCGGCTGCTCCTGTCTGGGCCTGTTGTTATTGCGGTGGAGCCTCGGCTCCTGCCTGCTCCAGCCTGATAACAACTCTAATCACACATGGCGATCGCTATCTGCACCGGAGATCAGGCCCTGCGGCTTATCAAAAGTTCACATCAAGCTAAAAGCAGAACAAAGAGGGTGAAAAAAACACAAGGGAAAACCACCAAGGCACTGCATGAGTCTTCTGGGTGTGTGTGTGTGTGTGTGTGTGTGTGTGTGTGTGTTTTATTTCACTTTGGCTCACGAAGAATGAATTAATCTCTCAACTGTGCGTCCATATAACTATCACATGACCTCACAACAACACAGTTACTCATTCCTTTCAGCTGCAGTGCACTCAACCGGAACCTGTAATCATTTAAGAAATCTAAACAAATCTTTTAAAAAGTTTTTCATGAGTGTTGTGAAAGAAAAGGGATGAAGTGGAAAGCAGGACACACACACACACACACACACACACACACACACACACACACCACACACACACACACCACACACACACACACACCACACACACACACACACACACACACACACACACACACACACACAACACACACACACACACACACCACACACAACACACACACACACACACACACACACACACACACACACACACACACACACACCACACACACACACACCACACACACACACACACACACACACACACACACACACACACACACACACACACACACACACACACACACACACACACACACACACACACACACACACACACACACACACACACACACACACACACAACACACACACACACACACACAACACACCACACACACACACACACACACACACACACACACACACACACACACACACACACAGATCAGCAGTGTGGATCTGTAGTGTTATCTATCTACCATCAGCAGGCCTCCTTATCAGCCCCAAACATCTTTCTCAAAGGGGCGGGGGAGCTGCCATTGAAAGCACACTCCAACACATTCATAGCAGCTATGTATTCCAAACACTTTTTCCACTCTTTCTCTGTTTGTTTTACTTCCAACAGCTCTTCTCCTCCATTCTATCACCACACTTTTAAGCAGCCCTCCCCCTGCATTTCTCATCTTTAAATTATCAAGTTATCCATCCCCAGCAAATCACAAACAAAACAACCAACGACAACGCAACAAGGCAAAGGAAATGGCATGCAACAGGCAGATGTAATTACAATGTGGCCTCCATCTTCCATCCCTCCTTCCATCTGCCCAACCTCTGATCTCTCTATCTCTCTCTCTTTTTTGCTTTGCAATATCAGCAGCAGCAATCGCCGCCAAGTTTTATCACGTCTCCCATCTCAACCGCCAAAATATAAGCCCAGGGATTCAGCCTCAGTGGGCTGCCTGCCTGTCTCCTATCTCCCGATCAAGGAGAGAAACCTTATCAGGCTGAAAGATCACCAACCGTTGGGGAGGATGACGCACAAAGAGAAACAGACAAATATCTATCTGCTACACAAACACCGCTTCTCTTCTTCAACTATGGGCCCGCAGAAAGCCCTGGACCTAATCCATGGTTGCTGGGGGGGGGAAATGAAAAAGATAACCACGTTATGTTGTCTTAATGTCTTTGTTGTTGTTGTAAATTGTTGTTTTTCCTGGTGGTTTACATTTTTTTTATTTGAGTTAGAGATTTCATAATTTCCCCAAACTGTATCAGCTGTGTGGCAGCATGAACATATACACTCTTGACTAAAGGGCCGATACGATCCCTGGTTGGTACTGATATAAATGATATTGCTTGCTACTGTACAGGATACTCCTAAATACATTTGTCTAAATATGTTTAATTGTTTCTAAAATCTTAACTTAACTTTTTGGAAAGTGAATGAGTCAACAAAAATACAATTATGAGTACCCAGGCATTGTCATGTGTTTGCCTTGATGATGTACTGGAGGTTAGAAGTCGGCCCATACTGCAGGTAGCATCTGGCCTACCAATTCTTTCCCCAAGAAATCAAGGTCAATTGAATGAAAGCTAACAAGAAAATGAGTTCTCATTAACTATTATTTGTTTTAATAATGTATTTAAACCTAAAAGGCATTGTTTGTTTCATTCACAGTACTTCAGCTGCCTCGCTGAGGGACAGCAGCAGGTGCCTTCTGAGTTATGGTAATGATTCATTGGTAAATGTAAAGGCTGAACCATCCTTCTGTGGGCTCCATGAAGGGGGTAACTTATAGACTTCTGCATAGCAGTTTATGTTATTCTTATGAAGATTCTGAGAATAACCTTTGCATTTTAGTTCATCAACCAATCAGCTCACATGATGCGCAGCCCCACGCAGCCCAATATTCCAATTCCAACTAAATAACTACCATCACTGGGCTTTAGATGAATTCAACTTTCCATAGAAAGTAGTATGAATCATTTTGAGGGAGGAAGTTGGAGGTATATTACTGTTATGATGGAGCTCAACGTCCTTACTCTGTGACCTGACATGAACCAGTGACAGCATGCAGCATGCTGAAAACAACATGGTGGACACATGGCATTAATAGTAATAGTAGTGGTTATAGTGGTAGCACCAGCAGCCCCTTCCTTTTGCTGAACCCCCACACCCCAGTCAAACAAAGTCCTTATCACTCCTCACTCTTTCCTATCAAAATGTCTGCCAAATCACAAGAGAGTCACGGGGCTGAGAGCCTGGCTGGCCTCAACCGCAGCCGGGGCTTGGTGCACAGGGAGGCATAGTGGACCAAGAGCCCTGATAAAGACGGCCATAACACCCCTGAGACACAAACATGTAATATATATATATATATCTCTCTCTCTCTCTCTCTCTCTCTCTCTCTCTCTCTCAGACACGCCAAGTCTAGTCTAGCCTGAGTTTATCTGCCTCAGGGTCTGGGATTCATCTCCAGGCCTCGCTGCTGGCTTACTGTAGGAGCCTGCTGCGTTCACAGCTGATATGCCTCTTCATGGAAACATGTCAAAAAACAGGAAGTGAAAGACTATATAGACTGCTTGCAGTGGCACATCAGAGGACCTCATCAAGAGACAGCCTTCATGGCAGCCCAGCACATATCCTTGATCACAATAGATGGCGCACATGATATGTAGATGGAGACCGTGCACACATTTAGTTAAACTGAGTTGTATCTTCTGTGATTAAACTATCTTTGGCCTAGCATTAAAAGATACAAAAAGCAACATACAGATAGCATACGACCAACCTTAAACTGCACCTGAAACATAACCACCCCATTCCGTTTTCCCAGCTGGGAGCAAACATGGCAGCTGGAGATGGAGAGCCCCCACCTTCCCGACAGTTTACAATCAAAGATGCATTTGCCCGACGATGCAAACATGTTGGTGTTCCTTGCTCGAAATCTTTGAAATACAGATTTGGATATGGCCTGTTGAGGCATCTGGGTCTTTGTATGGACAGTGGACTGTACACTTGACTGCTATTTTAAGGGGGTCTTTTTTTGCTTGTGAGACAATGTGTGCTCATATTTATTTATTATATATATGAGAGAGAGCTCTGTTTTCCAGCCTGAGTATTTAATTGATTGTTTTGGTTGTGTGTGATTTTAATTAATTTGTTATAATTAAATGCATTTGTTTTATTTATGATATATAATTTATATATTTGAATATTATTTCACATTTCATTTGCAATGTTGAATGTTCAATAAAAAGTTATGTTTGAAAGGATGTACTTGAATTATTATTATATATTATCATTATGTCAGTGGTCTAAAATGGTCTTACAACGGTGCCGACAATATTATCGTTTATCGCAATCATTTCCAGGAACATTTATCGTCCAACAAAATGAATTATCGTGACAGGCCTAGTTATACATTAATACATGAATTCTCGTATTAAATTCCAAAATTATTCTGAAATGGTTCATTTTGCATAGAACGGCCTGATGGCCTCATAATAGACAACTTTTTTTTACATTACATATATTTTGGTGTTGTAAATGTTGTACTTTTACTTGCCTAACATTTTTTATGCAGGAATTTTAGGTTAACTTGTAAGAAAACTATTTCCACAGTGGTACTTTTACTTAAGTAAAAGTATATATACTTGAGTACTTCCTCCACTGCCTCCTAGCTTACTGAGACATGTTCAGTGTGCAGGTTTCACAGTAACTCGGGGGCAACTCAGTGACATGATGCAATGCTCCTTGCTCGCTTTACCTCGTAACATGGCTTACAAGTGAGGATTGCATTAGACTATCAAAAATGCATGCCTTTATCTAATATCATGTCTGAGAAAATACACCTACTGCCACAAGAGCCAACATATGAAAATGTTATATAACTTTGTATTTATGTAATGTGATAACATCGAGCCTGCAAATGTTGCTTTAGACACCAGGTTTTCTGGGAAAACAGTGACACAATCACTGATGACAAGATATTATTATTTGTGCAATGTGATAACTTACCAAACAAACTGTACTGCTGTTGTCAATTTTCCATTCCAGCTGTAGCTTCCTAAACTTTAATCTCCAGTATGACACTAGATATAAACTGAGACTGAGATTAGCTGAAAATGCAACATCATTAATATGCTGTTATATCAACTTTGAACATCAGTCACAAGCGAAAGAGCTTCACACATCTACGAACAGGAAGAAGTACAAGCAGGGAGAGCAACGGGACCGAGCAAAGGCCTTCCCAGCGGCCCTGAGATGCATTATTGAGTTAAAGGGATAGATGAAAAAAGATCCAATTGTAAGCAGCTATCAGTAGAGATCTGCAGGCTGCCTATCTGACGGCCCATCTCTGGAAGGAGAAGTGAAAAGCCAGGGGGAAAATGCGACGGCGGCCCGGCGCTGCCTCAGACAGAAAACAAATAAAAAAGATCCAATTTTAATCTTAATCTGGGCTCACATCGGATCGCTGCTTTATCTCTGTTCACATCAGCTTTTTCAGAGAACACTGACGTTTCCACAACAGAATTAAACAGGAAGCGACGGCTACAGTTTTAGCTGCCAATGGACAAAGCATTCTTAACAGGGTAATAAATAAAAACGTGTTTTTATATTCTAGCGCAGTCTAGATAGCACGGCTACCAAAGTGGTAGGCTACTGACATGAGTTTGAATAACAGTGAAGGTGAATGCTACGCATCTAGCCTATTCTGAGGAAATGCTGTATTTGAACTCAATTGAACTAGGCTACTAAAAAGCTTTATTTGCTGATATCATCAAACGCAAAACAGTGTGCTCTGTGGTTCTAGTTTGTGTTTCAGGCTACATTTACCCATAAAAAAGTGTCATAAAACTACTGTGGAGACAGCTAGGTGTACACGCAGAGTTTCACACCACTTATTAACTTTATAATGACCCAGTCGCATCGAAGCGCCGCACACAACACACGGCTTCTTCCCAGGGCGCCTGTGGCTCGCTCACCACACACTACAACAGCACACAACACTCCAACAACATGACAACATTAAGAAAAAGAGCTGTTTTATCCTCACGCTTTATCTGCCGGGGTTTGCTCTGCTTTCTCCGGGACATTGTGGCTCTTCCCTATGACGGCAGACGGAGCGGCAGAGCGGCGCTGCGGTTCTTCGGTCTGCTGCCTCTTCTCTTCCCCGCCGTTTACTGCTGCGACGCGGCGCTCCGCATGACCCGCCTGCACTTTGATATCTTGTGCCACGGCAGCTAACGTGGGGCTACCTGTGGATCAGTCCGCGTACTTCTCACTGTCCTCCTTCTCTATTTCCCAAACGTTAATTCACCTCACCGTTCTCTCCGTTTTCCTGCTAACGTTATTCCTTCGCCAGGCGCTAGACACCGTTGCAACCCGTCAGCAGTCACCGGTGACTGTCTTGGGAAATATTACCGCTATTATTAACATCAGTTATATGGAGGTCAGCGGAGTGAATGCTATTGTTTCTGTGAAGTTTCCTCTCGCAGGTCCGCCCCCTGTCCGCCTGTACTGTCAGTGAAGCGGGAGACACTTTCTGTGGAGCGCGAGCGCTACAGTCCACTCCGCTTACTACAGAGGAGCCGAGCCGACGCCTGGGGCAAGCCCATTACGTCTGACGTAGTGCATCGCACTAATCTCCTATTGGTTCAAATGTACCCATGTAAAGCACGCACTTTTTGTATTTAATGAATTAAAAGTATCTAAATAAATGAAATACTTATTCATACGCAAATGCATGATAGGTTAACAATGAAATGCATAATAAATCATTATTCTACATTCTGTATCTAACAGGAACTGAGATTTTTTTAAGCAGCCTAGAACTTTTCATTTAAGTGTTTGTGTTTTATTCCTTGTTTATGATACCTAATTTACTTAACTTCGATTGTTGTACAGTTATAAGAATAAGAAAATTATGGAATGTGTCAGCTTTTGTTTGTTGTAATTGTAAATGATCCTACACGATATTGTTGTTTATTGTTGTTTTGTGGAGAAAAAAAAAACGTTGTATTTATTTTATTTTTTATATATAATATTGCCATGTTTCAATTCAAATGAGGATGGGTAGCATAGTCTTTTATTTTAGGCTAAATTAATATTTTAAAATTATTCGCACTAATGGACCTCTCAATAATGTTGTCTTCCAACGTATTGTTTTCATTTTATTTAGCTGAACAGTTTGTAACTCCAATTCCTTTTCTATCATATATTATTCAAATTATTATTGTTGAGTTAGATAGTGGAGAGTGTGATTTATGTTGAGTTCTCTCTCTCTCTGGGTATAAACACGACACAGACATGAGATTAGGGTCTCTTATTGGGCTGCTATATATTCCCATACCCCTCAAACTAATTATTCATCTAAAAAGGTACTTTCAAAATATAAAAGCAGTATTAGTTAAAGATCCATAATTTAGGTTTAAGGGGATATTCAGGGGTAACTGTTTGCAATTATTTATGATACTATTAAGCATTATAATATCTTTGTTTTTTGGATTGTAGAGACATGGAACATTAATTGGAATATATATATTGATAAGCTATTCAGAAATCAGCGACCTATTTGTCACACACTCTTTTCCAAATATGTTGTAGCTTTTTGCCATGAACATGGAGAGTAGCTGGAGTCAGAGCTGGCAGCATAATTCACTGGTGCCACCTAGAGGCCATCTTTCACATGACAGTAGCTCACAAAGCAGAATGATCAAGGCGCATCACAAGCTCGATGTTCTGAAGAGCTAAAGCGTGCTGTAGCCTAGACCTCTCATTATACTAGCAGCTTTGGGATAACAAAGACTGTGGGAACATTCATCTTGAGAAGCTGCATCCTATTGTGTTTAGTTAATGACAATTTGCAACCTAAACACCTTTGCATGTATGGAGAAAAAACTGCATTCAATATGTTTTTGTAGTCATTTATTCATATTTTATGTTATTTAAGATGTGTTTGTAATTCTCAACCACTTTTGAAGGCAACATCTTTACTACAATGGCAGCCTGGGTATCGCTTGTTGTCTTACACCCTTTCTTTCTCAAAGTATAGTTTTCTTTCTCAAAGTATAGTTTACTTTCCGGCTTGTTCCTGCCAATAATGAGGGATTCAACAAATAAATAACCTTATAGTGTTTTACTTACCTTTGGTGATTTACTGCTACTGTTCATCGCCAACATAGAAAGAAAAGTGTTGTTGCTATTTGGATATTCTAAGTAACTGTAAACATTTCAGGGCGTTCTTTGCTGAAGCAGCCCACTGGGGCATCCAACGTGCACGTCTTAAAGTAAGGAAAACATTCAGGTTTACTTGGTTCACACAACATAATTAAACTTAAACAGCACTCTCAGCTGCTAACTTAAAGCTAGGGTGGGTTGCATTGGAGAAGGCTGCAAGGGTAAGTTGGATTAAAAAAGGTTCAAACCATAAACTCAGTCCAACATTGTCAAATATTGTCAAATTAAAGTAGCTATAGCACTAGCTGCAAAAGCTGCATAGTCTAGCTGGAAGTTCTCAAATTTGGCTACACGTTTGCACGTCTTTTTAGTCCTCCCTCCAAAGCCACAACCCTAAAATGATCAATATGTTCATAGACAACAAACATGGCTGTTGCTAGTACCTTTCACAAGCTAGCAGCTTGGCTAAACACTGGTGACGTGCAGCCACGTTGACGTTGAGTATTGGCGTAGCCCTCTAAGGCTATCGCTATTGGGTAATCCCCCTGCGCACCCGCGCAGCACTGAAACACTTGTAGTCCACGCCCGCCCGCAAGGTGGGCCCCACCCTCGGGCTCCCTTCCGGTATAAATAGGAAGGAGGCCCGACAATCTGCTCCCACACAAAACAACTTTTCTTCAGCTATTCGTGGAGACAGTGGGGCCCAGAACTTAGAGGGCTACGCCAATACTCATAGAAGCTGGAGTTACAGTAGGTAACTTCAGTTCTATTTCGTATATGGCTTCGCCCTCTAAGGCTATCGCTATTGGGTTAAGGGCGAAGCAAGATGTAGTCTGCGCCCCACTGGGTCCCCCCGGTACAAGAAGCACAGACACACCTGCTCAGATAATAACCCATGCCTATTGCGCCATGCCTATTGCGCCATGCGAATGGCGCATCACAGTCCCTGGAATATAGCATAACATGAATATTTACCATGAGGGGACGAAGGCTGGGAATAATACATACCTGCCGCTGTGAGAAAGTAGAGACGAAGGTCACACTTTGCCCAGTGACAGAAAGGAGGGGGAATAGCAGCTCTCTGCGTGCAGACAGGCAGGAGAGCGCACAGCTGGGTCCCCAACATCACTCACTCTGACAAGACATTCCGTACGAAATGTGTCAGGGGAAAAAGGGGGACGTCCCTCTCATAAGAGGGAAATACAGGCCACTCTCCGTGTGCCGAGGCAGGAGAGAGGCGCACAGCTGGATCCCTGACGTCACTCACTCTGACAGGACACTCAGCACAGGGTGTGTCAGAGAGGAATGGGAGACATCCCTCAAATAAAATTGAATAAATGAACAGGGAGAAGACCAAGATGCAGCCGTGCAAATGTCTTCCATTGACATTCCTCCGTGCAAAGCCGCGGAGGAGGAAATTCCTCTGGTGGAGTGCGCATTGAAGTTCTCCGGGGGATCCACCCCAGAGGAGACATATGCCTGTGACACAGCCTCACACAGCCAGTGTGACAGCCGCTGTGCAGACAGAGGCTGCCCGATCGAGCGCTCTCTGTAATGCACAAACAGGCGCTGAGAACGGCGCAAGGCAGCCGGGCGCGCCACATAGCAGGACAGCGCGCGCACAGGACAGAGGAGATGAGACGTGGCTTCTTCCTCCGACCTGTGAGGAGGGGGAAAGAAGCCATCCAGGGTGATCACTCTTGACCTAAAAGAGCTTGTGATGACCTTTGGCATAAAAGCCGGGTTAGGGCGTAAAACAGCTGAACTGCCATCTCCTTGGATCCGGAGGCATGACGGAGCCACAGAGAGAGCAGACAAATCACTCACCCTTTTTGCTGATGTTAGAGCCAAAAGTAGTACTACTTTGGCTGATAACATCTTAAGGGGAACCTGATCTAAAGGTTCAAATGGGGCTTTGCTTAGTGCGCGTAACACCAAAGCCAAATCCCACTGAGGCGCTAGTGCGCGTGACACAGGTCTGAGTCTCCGTACTCCTCGCAGAAAACGTTTCGTCAGGGGGTGACTAAACACCGTCCCGACTCCGAAACCCACATGACAAGATGATATGGCAGCAGCATACACCTTGATTGTGTTGAAAGCCAAATTCCTGTCCAACAACAGCTGGAGGAATGACAGCACGTGAGGCAGGGGGCACGTAATGGGGTCCAGGCTTTTTTCTACACACCAACGCTGGAAAGCTGTCCACTTGGCTGTGTAGGACGCTCTGGTAGACGCGGCCCTGGCTCCCTGAATGGTCCGTACAACAATCTTGAGAGAGGCCCAGCCCCTCTAAGTGTTCCCGTTCAGGGGCCATGCCCATAAGTGCTGGCCTATCACAGGGTGACTGTTGATCGCTCCCTCCACCTGCGAGAGAGCGTCCCCGCGCCACGGAATTTCCCACGGTCTGCCTGACAGCATACGCTGTAGGCATGGAAACCAGGAAGCGCCCGTGCGCTCCGGGGCAATTAGGATCACTGACAGTCGCTCCTCCTGCACTCGGTCCAGAAACCGAGGGATCAGCGGGACTGGTGGGAAAGCGTACAACAGTCCCCTGGGCCATGGTCGATGTGCGAACGCGTCCACCCCCAGGGGGCTTTCAGGGAGAACCAGAGGGCGCATTGCACGTTCCCGCGTGCGGCGAACAGATCCACCTCTGCTCTCCCGAACCGGCTCCATACCTGGGAGACCAGCTCGGGATGGAGGCTCCAGTCCCCCTGGCGAGGACCTCCTCTGGACATGAGGTCTGCCCCTTTGTTCAGTTCGCCGGGAACATACATTGCTCTGATGGAGAGCAAGTGTGCGCGCGCCCAGATCAACAGCGGCCTGGCTGTGTTCAGAAGCTGCGCTGAGCGTACTCCGCCCTGGCGATTGATGTAGGCTGCCGCGGCTTTGTTGTCTGTGCACATCAACACTGATTCCGCAGCAAAGGGGCAAAATACTGGATTACTCTCTGTACGGAGAGCAATTCCAGCACGTTTATGTGGAGGGACATGTGAGCCGGCCACTGTCCCCCCACTGCCTGTGACATACACGTTCCTCCCCACCCTGAGAGAGATGCGTCTGTGAACACCGAGATGTGTGACGTAACTCTGCCCAGGGGCACACCCGCTGACAGGACGTGGGGACTTTTCCAATAGGTTAAGTCTGAACCCACGGAAGGAGGGATGGCCACCTTCTGTCGCACAGGGTCGATGCGCAGGCGAATAAACCACCTCTGGAGTCTCCTCATGTGAAGGAGACCCAGGGGAATCACCATGTGACCAGCTGCCATCATGCCAAGCAGCTGCATCACGGAGAGGGCTGTCACCACGCTGCGAGGTGTGACGCGTCAGAGAAGAGCTGTCAGTGCCTCCACTCTCTGCTGTGAGAGTCGCGCTCTCATGCGG